AATTCATGCCTGCTTGTTTTAAATCCAATTAGCACTCCCCATAGGAAACATGCTTTAGTAGTGCCCTGGACCCCATAAGGCTTTGGTCTTCAGGTCTCACTTTGTCTTGTTTCCCATGATTAATACCACTCACTCCCCTGAAGGGGAACTACTGGTTAGAGTGAAATGGAGGATATTCTGAAGGCCTTGCTGGGTCTGAATAGCTTGTTGCTGAGGCAGAAGTGGGGTAGCCTCCATCGAGGGGCTCTCAGGTAGATACCGGGCTAGTGCAATAGCTTAGCAGATTGTGTGTGGGATTCGCACACTGACTACCTACTGAGTTGAGGAGGCAGTATTTGAGGCTAGATTTTCCTCATAGGGATGGGGTCATTAGGATCTGCGATCCCTATGTCGCAGCCTTTTTTTGCTTCTGTAGCGCTTCATCCCCTGACCCTATGGGTTACCAAGGGTCTAACCTCTGGCGCAAGATGGCAAAGGACTTAATGACTCAAATTAAAAGGCCGGAACATCACGTTCCCAGCCATCCCAAGACCAGTGAGGAGGTTAACAAACTATTAAAGAAATGTAAAGTGTCTACCCAGGGCGTCTGGGCTCTGCTCCTAACCTCTGGCGCAAGATGGCAAAGGACTTAATGACTCAAATTAAAAGGCCGGAACATCACATTCCCAGCCATCCCAAGACCAGTGAGGAGGTTAACAAACTATTAAAGAAATGTAAAGTGTCTACCCAGGGCGTCTGGGCTCTGCTTGCTGAAGCAGCCCATCAACATACTAATACTCTATTGTTATGCTTGGGAGGGCGTGAGGCCGCGCTGCATGGTCCTACCACAGTTACACTACTGGGGCAGGATCCAAACCCAGATGAGGTCGACTGGGACAACCCAGAGAGGGAGGCGGTTGCCTGCAAACGGTGCCAATGGGAACCACCGGGGTCATTTGAGACCACCAGGAACTTGTCAGATTTATATCCAACAAGAAGCAGGGGGAAGAAAAATATTTTAGAACTGGCTGGTTAGCTAAGTTGGTTAGTGTGTGGTGCTGATAACATCAAGTTCTGGGGTTCGAACTTTGTACCGGCCAACAACAACAAAAAATTTAGCCGCTTAGAAATATAAGCCATTCTAAGGATTTTACTTAAAGGGAAAAAAATGGTGAGAAAGGGACTGACTATCCTGTGATGGGAGCTCCCCAGGGAGAGGATACTGCCTAGAGAAACTGGTCCCCTCTTCTTCTCCCCCTTATTCACCAGAGACAAAAAACTAAGAATTTGTGGCTTCAGGCAGCTAAAAGTGCAAGGGGGAAAAAAAGGAACTTTAAATTTTAAGTATTGAGTAAATGCCAGGTTGAACAAATGTAATGCTGCTAGCCCTATTTTGATTACTTATTGATTTGCAGATAAAACTGTAAGCGGCAGGGGAAAAAAAGGTAATTAAATAGATTATAAATATATAATAAATAGATAAATTGTGTGTATGTACGCATAATGTATAACAACATTAAAACAAATTTCCTTAATTTGATCCAGTTGGAAATTCAAATTTTGTATACTAATTTATATACTAAAGAATTTATATTACAAAAGATAAAAAAAGGGCAGTGATTGGCTTTTATGCCTGTACAACACAGGTTCTAATCTTAACATTTGCTAAAATGCACATATTGACAAGTTCAAAGTTCATGGCCAAAAGTTCATGGCCTCAATCAATACCGGGGCTGTAATTATTGTTATATCCGGGGATTCCACTAAGTTTAAACCCTCTGCCCTATGATCTTGAGAAGGTAACAAATACAACATTTAAAAAGTGGGTATGCTTTGCTTTCACTGTAGCCTTGCCTGCATTTTTCTCAGTCATAGTCTCCATTGCTGTAAAATATTTTATATTGGGCATAAATGCTCTAACACAATAAATAATAACATTAAAATATGTTATTTGTCTCTTACAAATTGTCTAGATAAAATAGGACCCCATGAGCACCCAGGTAAAGTAGTTAATATGGCCCAATGTAAGTTAAAACGCTGTAAAATATTTTATATTGGGCATAAATGCTCTAACACAATAAATAATAACATTAAAATACGTTATTTGTCTCTTACAAATTGTCTAGATAAAATAGGACCCCATGAGCACCCAGGTAAAGTAGTTAATATGGCCCAATGTAAGTTAAAACAGGGCCTGCATGGATTAAGACTTATTACTGTATATACGGGGCACTTCGAAAAGTTCATGGAGAAATGGAATTAAAACATAATAGGAAACTTTCCATGAACTTATTTTTCCAGATAGGCTGGACCCCTTAGATAACACATGCCTCAGGCTTCAGGCTCCCTGACTGTTGCCAATTTTGCTCCTGCTTGTTTCAAATTGCCCAAGCCTAGGGCGTTTCTTGGATACTTGTGCACCCCATCCTGGACCCTAATAAAGGCATGTGCCTCGGACCCTTGCTCGCGCTCTCTCTCTCCATGCACTCCCTGAGTACTGTGTGTGTAAATAACAAAATCTTTATTTCCACCTTGTGTCTCTTCTAATCACTGAAGGAGTGCTTTTTTTTTTTTTTTTTGTGACCGGTAAGGGGATCGTAACCCCTGGCTTGGTGTTGTCCACACCGTGCTCAGTCAGTGAGCACACCGGCCATCCCTCTATAGGATCCGAACCTAGCGCCGCACTCTCCTGAGTGAGCCACAGGGTCGGCCCTGAAGGGGTGCTCTTCATTTTAAAGATCCTAAATTAAAACAGTCCCTATCCCCAATACCCAACATTATTTAAATTACTGATTCTATTCAACAGTTGGTAAATATTTTGTGCTTATAGATTAATTAACATGTTCTATTCAGTGCCTATTTCGACAGCCTTTCAACTCCACTCTGCCTTTGCCGCAGAGGACTCAATACACCTTTTCCAGGCTACCCATGGGCTACCTCAACGGCTTTGTCACCGCACACAATCTTTGCAGACAAGATCGATGACATCCTCCTTTTTCTGGGACTCATTTGACAATTAAGCAACCCATCTTCCCAAGTTCCCTTGGGGGAATGCTCCTGCCACACTTCTGGTGTGACTCCAGCCGTGCGAACGTTCGGCTGGTGAACCGCCATCCTAATGAGTATGTACTGATGTGTTTCATTGTATTTTTAATTTGGATTCCCTTGATGGCTAGTGATGTTTAGCATCTTTTCTTGTGCTCACAGGAACGTTTTCATTTTGAAAAGAGAAATATGAGACTCCTTTCCGCCTTCCAAGCATGCACGTAGAGAACAGGTGGAAGCCAAAGACGCTATGAGGCTGCATGAGGATGATGTGGAGGGGCTCTGAGGGAAGGATGACAACCTCAGTCGTGGCCCCACACAAGAGGTGGGAGCATCCTGGGGTTGACCAGGCTGACGGGGGTGTGCTGGAGGGACTGAGGTCCCGACACAGCCAGGAATTGGGAGGAGACAGGATATAATGAGAACATGGTCTTGAAAGTCTGCTCAGTGCCAGAGGAAAGGGGGAAGTGATTTATTTTTGTTGCTGCTGTGGTCTGGATGTTTGTTTCCCCACAAATTCATAGGTTGAAGCCCTAACCCCCAAGGTGATGATGGTATTAGGAGGTGGGGGCCTTTGGGAGGTGATTAGGTCATGAGGGTGGAGCCTCTGAATAGGATTAGTGCCCTTATAAAAGGGATCCAGAGAGCTCCCCGTCCTTTCCATCCTGTGAGGACACAGCAAGAAATTGCTGTCTGTGAACCAGGAAGGGGTCCTCATTGGACAGTAGATTCACCACACCTTGATCTTGGACTTCCCAGCCTCCAGTATGATGGGCAATAAGTTTGTTGTTTATAAGCCACCCAGTCTATGGTATTTTGTTACAGCAGCCTGAACGGAATAAGACAGTTGGGAAAGGCAGTCTCACAGGTACAATCTTTCGACGCATTTTCTCGATCACATGAGTTTAGTTAATTGCTGTGGGCCTAGAGCACTTCCTTATCAAGAGCTCTCACAGTTCGTGCTGGGCTTATTGCCTTTGTGTGGGGGATATCTTTCCCTGTTTCAGACTCAATGTGGGCTTTGTCATCCTGCTTACACGTGTGCTTCACCTGGCCCCTGGCCCACCCACTGCTAGGTCACACCCTCTGCAGGGAGCAGGCGGACTCCTCCCACTGCAGCGCAAGAAGGGTGGCATAGCTACTGGCCCTACAGCGTCTGCAAGGAAGGACCTGCCAGCCCCAGGGCATTGATGCCCACCACGTACGCTGCTCTTGCTTTGCCTCTTCTCTGCATGAGGAAAGCGTTGTTTCATCTGGTGCTTCACTGTGCTGCGTTTCCCTTGGCGACTCCGATACTAAGATGCAGTGGGCAGAAAGTGTTGGGACTTATACTTCAATAGGAGGGACACCTGCTGTTTGTTTGACAGCTTTTACATTTTTGTTCTTTGCAATTTACCTATTAATGCTGTGCCTCCCACATGGGTCTGCGTGGTCCAACCCCCAATTTTAATCTCCCTAGCCATACCAATGTTCTCTCGGTTCCTGACACACACCTTTGTGCGAGCAGGTCTCGCTGCTGGGGAGGCCCTCTCAGTGTCTCTTTCCCAACCCCCTCCAAGAATCCACAGAGTTCACTGGGAGAAGATTATGACAGACACTAACTCTACAGGTGAGGTCAGGGCAGGACCAGGAATCTCTTGATATAGCCAGCATCTGGCATGGTTACACCAGACATGAGGACAGGGATCTCACTGCATGGCTAGTGCCTGGTGGAATGACTGACTGAGGTCCGGGGTGGAGGTGGACAAGGATGTGTATGGTGGGATCTGTGATGGCTGGCTTGGCTAACCCATACTTACTGCCTCTTGCCCAGCATTAAATCCCAGGACTTTTTGGGATTTGTGGGGCAGGTGAGAGGTATGGAGGCTGCACTTCCTGGAAGTGCTGGGGACAACCTTGCACAGTCCTTGAGCTTGTTGGAGCGGTGCACACGCCCCATGGATGCAGGAGCACGGAGCTGGGGGCCCCGGGCTCACCTGGGATGGGTCTCCCTGGGACCTCTCGCTCTTCCTGTCTTCCTCCTCGCCGATGCTCCTGTCCTGGCAGTTGGCAGAGTCCAGAGATGCCAGAACTGGGTGGGAGAAAGGGATGGTGAGAAAGTCCTGTCCTTCCCAGAGCCCCCAATTCTCTAGAACTCCTTTTCAGAGGGCATCCCTACCTAGGAACATCCCTGCAAACCCCCAGTGAGGCCCAAGCAGTGTGCCAGAGCAACAGCAATGCTACCACTTCTGTCCCTCCAACAAGTTTCTAGAAGCAGCCCCATGCGCCCTGCCCCAGACCTTGCCCCTGCCATGGCTGCTGTGTATGAGCCTGTGGTGACAACAGGGGCAGCCAGGACTAGTCCCCTCCTCACCTGACACTCCACCCCAGAGGCCTCACAGAATCCCATGAGTACATTCACTGCAGCACCAACTAACTTGGGAAGCCTGGACACTAGGCTCAGCTTCCCCAACCAGACAACCTTTAAATCCATGCTGAAATATTACTTCGTGGGCATTTCTGTCTTGCAGGAACAATGTATAATGCGCAATGCACACGCTCAGTGTACAATGTGCAACGCACAACGCACAGGCATAATGTACAACACGTAATGTGCACTGCACATGCGCAGTGTGCAATGCACATGCACAATACACAGGCACAGTGTATGATGTGCAATGTACAATGCTCAACGCACACGCACAGTATGCAGTGCACACGTACAATGTAGAGGGAGAAAGTGCACAATGTACACAACGTGGAGCAAGAAAGCAAGGGCAGAATGACATGTACAGAAGGACACCATTTACAGAGGGGCCTTGGGAAACAGAACTATATACCGTCAGCCTGTGGGTTCCGCATCCATGTGTTCATCCAACCGCGGATCAAAAATATTTGGAAAAAAACGGATGGTTGCGTCTGAACTGAACATGTACAAACTTTTTTTCCTTGTCATTGTTCCCTAAACAATACAGTGTAACAGCCAGTTATGTGTCACAACAATGGGGATGCGGTCTCAGAAATGCATCATTAGGTGATTTCCTCATTGTGTGAACATCGTAGAGTATACTTACAGAAACCTAGATGGTATAGCCTGCTACACGCCAAATCTATATGGTATAGCATTGTAATTTTAAGGGACCACTGTTGCATATGTGGTTTGTTGTTGACTGAAACATAGATATGTGGCGATATATGGTGTATGACTGTATTCGCATAGCATTTACACTGTTTTAGGTATTATAGTAAGTAATCTAGAGATGATTTAAAGTACTGTATACAGGAGGATGTGCGTAGGTTATATACAAATATGACGCTATTTTATATCAGGGACTTGAGTATCTGTGGGTTTTGGTATCCTTGGGGTGTCCTGGAACCAATCCCACTTGTATACTAAGGGGTGACTATACTGTTATGGATCCAAAATAAGAGGAAAAAGTACAAACACATACGTACAATAAAAAATCCAAGGCAGCGGCCACGTCTGGAGGTGGTAGTGGAGGGGAGTGTGGCGGCCAACAGGCACAGGGGAGTTTAACTCCACAGTGTGTTATTTCTTTAAAAACAACCCAAAGGGCCGAGCCCATGGCGAGTGCGGCGCTGGGAGTGCAGCAGCGCTCCCACCCGCCATGGGTTCGGATCCTATGTAGGGATGACCGGTGCGCTCACAGTGCTCACTGGCTGAGCGCGGTGCGGCCGGTCTCAAAAAGGACAAAAAATAAATAAATAAAAAAAATAAAAAAATAACCCAAAGCCAGCCTTTCAATAGGTTGAGCTTTGGTAAGGCTGGGTGGCAGGTCTAGGGGTGTTCATTATAACAATTTCTATATAGCTTCATAAACTCGTGTCATATAAGAAGCAAAACACCGCTTCTTGGGTGGGTTGCTGAGCCCACAAAGGGACAGAAGCAAGTGCTCTTTGGCCCCTTTGCCCCAGGAAAAGTGAGTTCAAAGGGCCGATTTATCTGCCTTGCATGTCTTTGCGACACCATTCTGCCCCTTCCAACTCTCAAAGAGCTACACTTGAACCTCTGCAAAGTATGACTCCGAAAACTTTCCCAAGCATGTCACCAGCCACCCCTGGGCAGTGTAGAAACCCGGGAACCCGGTTTTCTGCAAACTGCAATGCTTTCTTTAACGGAAGGTCTGGAGATGTCTGGGCCACTGCTACTGCAACTAGCGTGGATGGGATGGAGACTGAGAGGACTAGGGTCACCTGAGACTAAAGGTCGCGAGCATGTTGGGTCAAGCCCTGCCATGACACCATGGACTGATTGCTCATAGGCGACAGGAAGAGGGTCTGTTCTTCTCCCTCTCTCCAGCCTCCCTTTCTCTATTTTGCCAGTGACACCTGCACACAAAATAGTCTTTCTCATTCCCTTGCCTTTGCTCCTGCCTGGCGTCCTTCCCTCCCCCAAACATTCACTGAGACTTTGCTCTTCCTTTGGGAGTCTTCTCTATTACACATTGACACGACTGGCTTTCACTGTCTACCCTTGCTTTTTTGGGCCTCCCAGTATCCAATTCCTGCACTTTTGTCAACACTACTAGGAAAGAGAGAGCCCTATTCCTTGGGACTGTGGCATGGGAGGATGGAAGCTCGACATGGGTCACAGGGGCAAGGACAAAGCCCTTGCAGGGGAAAGAGTGAACCGCGTCAAATTCACGCCTGGACCCCGCAGCTCTCTGAGCCAGCAAATTCCCTCCGTCTGCGGACCTTTCTGTGACAACTGCAGACCTAGGTGTCCCTCCCCACAACCAGCTTGGGAGGCTAACAATCTCCAGGACTCGTGCACTGATGGTTTTGTGTGGCTAGGAGGAAGTGGCAGTGCTGGCGTCCTTCTGAGGGAGAGCAGACAGTGAGAAGGCAGGGGATGCAAAGCCACAGGCAGATGGATGCTTGGAAAATGGCGGGATCTTTAATCATTGAGCGAGAAATATGAGGTAGACAAGGTGTGCAGCACAATGACATTTGTGTGTAAAAAAAACCTTAAAAACACAAGCACGGGGCAGGACAAGGAGACGTTTGCTTGGACACTGCTGGTTGGGAGGGGGACAACAGGAAGCGGTGGGAGCAGGGGAGGGTGGTTGCCACACTCGAGTCTGAGAGGAACGGGGAGAAGCTTGGTCCTGGGAGACATGGGGTGCATCTGCTCTTCCCCCTGCCCAACCCAGAGCCCCCCAGCCTGCAGCCTCTCACCTTCCTGCCCGCACATCTGTGTGAGTTTCTCCACCAGGCTGGCAGCCTCCCTGCAGTTGCGGGGGCCCTGTGACTGCACCCAGGTCCTCATCTTGCTGGGCAGCGCGCCCAGGAACTGCTCCAGCACCAGCAGGTCCAGCATCTGCTCCTTCGAGCGGGCCTCGGGCTGCAGCCACTGGCGGCACAGCATCCAGAGCTGGCCTAGTGCGAAGTGTGGCCCGCCCGCCACGCAGTACTGGAACTGTCGGAAGCGCAGGCGCTGAGCCTCGTTGTTCTGGGGGCTGGCTGGCTGAGCAGCCCTGTCCTGCTCACTTGGGGCTGGGGTTTGGGGATCTCTGGGGAAGGTGAGGGCTTTGACCAGCGGGAGCATCTCTCTGGCTGCAGGGCCTCTCCAAGGGTGTGTGTGTATGTGTGTGTGTAGGGGAGATTGGATCCCAGGACAGTACGGCAGTTCAGCGGCTCTGGACAGAACCAGGTGGCAGCAGGCGGGTGTGGTCAGCAGTCAGGCGTCTGCAGAGAGGGGCAGGGACAGAGAGGCCACATCAGATGGTGACCCTCCCTGCCCAGTATGCCCTCTTGGCTCCTCATCTCCATGCTTTGACCACCAGTACCCCAAAGAATTGACCAGTGCTCTCCCCACCTCATTCTAACCTAATGTTCCTCATGCAGCTCACAGAATACATGGTGCTGAGGACAAGCCACTGGCTGCCCTAGGGCCTTTGCACCTGCTGTTTCCTCCCAGCTGCTCATCCCAGCTCAGAGGTCCTGAACCCCATCCTCAATGTGCTATCTTCACAACCCCCCTCCCTTCCTGAACACATCTCTTTTCCTTAATTAGTTTAATATCTATCTCCCCTTCATTCAGTTAGTCATTCAACACACATTTACTGAGGAGCTGGGGGAAAAGGAATTCCTGCCCTCGTGGAGTGGCCATCGCTCTCCTATGGAACTTCCTACAAGGATGGAAATGTTCCCTATCCGTACTGTCTGATTCAGTTGCCACCAGCCACCTGTGGCTCCAGAGCATTTGAAATAAGGAACTGCATTTTAGATTTAAATTCCATTTAAATGGAAACAGCCAGGTGGGCTACATAATAATGATAGCTCAGCAGAGGTCTCCTGAGGTGATATCTTTGTTGTCTTCCTCACCTTTCCTGCCAAATCCCGGCTGGGGCAGGGGGCCATGAGGAAGGCCAGGGGGACTGGAGGAGAGGGACTCTAATGACAGAGGGAAAGTGGGAAGGGCAATGAAAATAAAACTTTTTGTGCATTTCCCAAGCTCACTGCGGTCAACATATAACTGAAAAAAGTTAAAAGTTAAAATAAAAAGAAAGGAAAAAAATGTTAAAAGTTATAAAAATAAAAATGAGCAGGGATATTTTGGTTTCTTTTTTAACAACTGTACTCTGCGTTGATCCACTGGTGAGAGTATAAACTGGCATGGCCTTTCTGGAAAACATAGTGGCACCTTGTATATCAAGACATTATAGAAGTTGGTATGCTGCAGAATTTATCTGAAATGTGGACAAAAATTTAGGCACCAAGATTCACTATAAAAGTGCCTAACAGTTGAGCTTGGTAGGATCAGTTATTCATGCCCCCTCCCACCCCTGCCCCAATCACCTGGGAGTATTCCACTGCAAAATGCACAGTAACATCATAACTTGCTCAAGGGGATATAGACATGATGTACAGATGATATGAGGCGCAGGGGGAAGTGGGATGCAAAATTATACGAGTGTCTTAAAAGGGGACACTGGAAAGAGGCCCACGATTGCTGGCTACCCAAATGCTTTGTTTCTTCATACTTCTCTCAGTCTCTTCCAAATGGTGCCACGATCAGGTGTGACCTTCATCAGCATGGGGGAAAAAACCAAGAAATCTTCAGGAAGTATTTTTAACGATATGAATAAATGCTTATGATAAGACAAGTGAAAAGGGGGGAATTCCATGTGATTTTCCCTTATTGATCCTCTGGTGCATCTTTTACGTATTCTATAGTTCTCCTGCGTGGGTTTTACAATCAGGGAGAAAGGACAGGTGCACGGAGGTAGAAAGGGCGACTCACCAGGACTGTGCCCTGCCGGTAACAGGTAATCTTCGAGCTTGCTTCCCCTGCCACCTGCACCCTGACTGGGAGTTTACAAAATTAGTCATCCCTGCTGAGACCACAGGCAAAAATACTCTTATGCTGTAGTAACAGTTTCATATATGTATTTTTGAAAAAGGAAAAAAGGCCCATTTTGCAGCTCCAAGCAGTTCCCTCTGCCCTGGGGTCTCAGACCTTGTCCTTTCTCCAGTGCTCAGGGAAGCCTGACTCAGGCAGATTCCAAGGTTTAGGGCCTCAACCCCTCAGCATCCTCCAGGGTCCTGGGATGAGGTTTATGGGGAATTTGGGGTCAAGTGCAGCTCTTAGCTGAAGACATCAGAAGTCTGGGGTCTATGTGGGGGCTGATGTCTCTGTGAGTGTCCTGGGCCAAAATGGGAGTTCAGGGCTGATGTGGGGGGGTGGGGGTGGGGTTCCTGGGCTGATATGAGTCCTGAAAGATGTAGGGGGCCTGAGATGATGTAGCTAGTGAGGAGTATCTGGGGCACTCATTTGAGGTGCTGTGGTGGCCGTGGGGTCCTACACTGGGCAGGACTTGGATTGATGTTGGGTGTGTGTGTGTCTATGTCACTTGGAGAACTCAAAGACATGTGGAAGGGCCAGGTCCACTTGGAGTGGGCACTGAGATCTGCAGACCCGACCCCAAGTTGTGCTGGGGAGAGAAGCACAAGGGCTTTGCAGTTGACCCTGGATGCTTATTAGTGGGTGAATAGGTTTGAGACAAGAGTGGGGCTGGGGGTTATAAGGGACGGGGTCAAGCAGGAGCTGGGAGCTTAGAATGACACACAGGAGAACTCCATAATTCAGTGACAAATAAATGGGCTGGGGAAATGTGTGAGGGCAGCAGACTGTGGAGGTGGGCAAGGGGCGACGGTGGATCCGGGGTTGCTGGTCAGGTGGTGGGGGGAGGGTCCGAGACTGCTGGTTCAGGTGGGGAAAAGAACTTGGACTGGGCGAGTGGCGTCTGGAGTGGACAGGGGAAGAGTGGCTTTCTTCCCCAAACTGGGGTAGACGCCAATTGGGGCCAGAGGCCTTGCGGAAAGGGGGGGCCCCGGCCCTCTCTCCACGTAGACCTCTGACCCCCAGCACCTCAAGCCCCTCGCGCGGATTCAAAGCTCCCCCGCCCTCTGCCTCCCCGGAAACCGCGGACCTTCAGACGGGCTCCCCAATCCCGGCCCCACCGCTGGCCTTGGGCCGCGACCCCCACTCCCCCGCCCAGATCCCAATTCTTCTCCACCCGCGCTTCCTCTAACGCGATCCCCGGCCAGCTCCCGCCGACGTGGCGCCCGCGGCCCGCCCCGCCGCTCCTCCCCGGGCAGGCCGGCC